GTGAGAGGAGAGCTTCCTTATGAAAGGAAGCCTGTGATTGTGAGAGAAGAAGGAGCAGTTCGGGGGCCCAGGAAGCTGGGTAGAACCTGAAGACATGGGGCTAGGAAGAAAATGTGTCAGAAAAAAAGTAATGACCTGAGATAAGACGCAGGAAGGACAGGGAGGAGAGGGCACATAGCTCCATCTCCTCCTTGTGTGGAAGAGAACAGAAGACATCAGTGTGCTGTGGGATGTCTTTCTGTACACTGTGAGTATATGTTGCTCACATTGGTTGATAAATAAAGCTGTTTGGCCAATGGCGAGGCAGAATAAGGTTAGGTGGTACATTCAAACTGAAGACGGAGATGAAGAACGGTGGAGTCAGGCAGACGCTGCGAGCCACCGCCAGGAGAAGCAAGACGTGAGAGAACAGGTAATAACAGAGTGACAGGAATGGGTTGAGTTAAGTTGTAAGAGCTAGTTAGTAGTGAGCCTGAGCCATAGGCCATGCAGTTTGTAATTAATATAAGCCTCTGTGTGTTTACTTGAGACCAAGGGCTGTGGAACAGGGTGGAACACAGGAAAACTTCCAGCTACACCAGTGGTCCACATGTTCTGCTGCTGCTTTGGTAGCTTTGGAACTTTCAGACAGCGCCTGGCTCTGCAGCTCAGGCTGGCCTCGGATTTGTGATCTTCCTGGTTTTGCTTCTTTCCTGCTGGTATTATAAGCACCACAATACCAATTGGAGGATGCTTTGTTTATGTATTTATTACGTGCATATGGAGTGTGTACATGTGCGTGTGTATGTGGGTGCAAGTGTACGTGTGTCTGTGTGAATGCACATGTGAATGTGCCTGGTGTTTGTCCTCTATCACCACTTCCTCATGTTTTGAGACAGAGTCTGTCACCGATTGGCTGGCTAGACTGGGCAGCTCTGGGCATCCACCGGTCCCCACCCCCCAGTGCTAAGGTTATGGACACATGCCACCACATCCAGATTTTCCACGGGTTCTGGGGTCTACACTGTGGTCTCCATCCTTGCACAGCAGGCTTTCACTGACGGAGTCATCTCCTCAGCCCTGGTTGTCTGCTTTTTCACACACATAATCTGAGGTGCCCAGTGGGTTCAGCAGCAGATACAGACATATCAGGGTTGCATGAATATATTACAGACTTGATGGGTCCCAAATTAAATTCTCCAAGAGGAAACATGGACATAGACAGATCAGCTACTGCAATGGGGATAATATTTTTTATAAGGCCAAGATTTAGTTACCTGCCATTTCCTATATCAATAATTTTACCTCAATTAAGAAAAAGACAACATCAGGCCTGAGCAAGTTAAGAGTGAATTTGCATCTGAAGATGAGAAATATCTCTGTTAACAAGAAGGGAGCAACATGCACACATCATTTCTCAGGAGCCTGGGAAGAGGCAGCCTGATGGCTCAGGATCCACAGACCCCTGGAAGCTCAGCAGCTGTGCAGTGCAGCTGGCAGCCATCACCATGGCAACATCCCCTCCTGGGAGAGCAGCTTGGTCCATAGAAACCAACCATCATTTAAAAATTAACGCAGATGATCCTGCATAGGATCCTGCACAACAAAAACCATTTTTATAGAAATGCCCTTTCTAAGGACATAATTGGAACAAATGAGTATATTTGGAAAAATTTGAATATAGATTGTGAATTAGATGGGTGGTTCTCAAACTTCAGCTTGTTTCAGACTCACCTGGGAAGCTTGTCAAAACACAGATGGCTGAGCCCCACCCCAACAAAGTCTGATTCAGTATGGCTGGGCTTTGGGCCAGGACTCTGTATTTCCACCAAGTTACCAAGTGGGGCTGATACTACAGATGTGCGGTCCCCTGAGGATTACAGTGGCTCACATACTCTCATTGTTTCAGTGCTAATTTCCTGAGTTTTTTTTTTTTTTTTTTCACTTTAACTATGAAAAGAAGGTCCTTGGCCTTAGAAAATACAGTAGCTGTTTGGGAAAAGGTTAGGTCTGGAACTTTGTGTTAGTTAGCTTTCTGTTGCCATGACAAAGCACGTGAGAAATAAACTCACAAGCAGAAAAGACTTGCTTTAACTCCAGGTTCCAGGCAGGAGTCGGTTGCCGCTATGGCTTTGGGGCCTGTGATGAGACAGAGCATTACAGCAGGAAAGCACGTGACTGAGAGAAGCCGCTCATACCCGAGCAGCTGGGGAGGACACGTGTGAGGGAGGCTGGCATTCCGACACCACCTTCAAAGGAATGGTGCCAATGTCCTCACTTTCCTAAGACCCCACTTTCTGGAGTTTCCACCACTTCCCAATGAGTAGGCTAGCAGCTAAGCCTCTAGATCACATGGGCTTTAGGGAGATGTTCAAACAGTTCAAGATGCAAACCACAACACGTTTATTCTCAAGCAGTTCAGGGAAAAGCTAGGTAGGGGAAATATACATGGAAAAAAAGAAATAATGAAGCAAATGTGGGCTACGGAGAGCAATATAACTGGGAAGTCTGGGGAAGGGGGGTGTGGGAGTAGGCTTACAACCTGTCTGGAAGCTCAAAATTACAGTAAATTTTAAAAAATATCAAAATTAACATGGGAAAAGAAAGAGCATGTCATCTACACCTGTCACACATGGCAGCCACTAGCTGCACAGGCCACTGCATTTTAAGTTAATTAAAGTTAAACAATAGATTTTGTTTATACCGAATTTCTTTTTTTTTTTTCCTTTTATTTTATTTTACAATACCATTCAGTTCTACATATCAGCCACGGGTTCCCTTGTTCTCCCCCCTCCTGCCCCCTCCCCTTCCCCTAAATCCAAAGACAGAAAGCCAGCGTGACTAGAGGTGAGCGTGGCAGAAGGCACAGGCCACTCAGTTTCCCCCGCACCTTCCACTGAGCAATGCTGACCTCAATCGAAGGTATTTCAAGATATGGAAAGCATCTTTAGAAAAATTTAGTGTGCCCCCAGGTGTGGTGGCCAATACCTGCAATCTCACTGGGAGATGTAGGCACGGGGATCAGGAGTTCAAGGCCAGCTGTGGCTACATAGTGAATTTGAGAACAACCCGAATTACAGAGACAATGCATCAACATTTTATAAACAAATGAGTGTGCCAAAATCAGCAGTGGGGAAAATAATCATCATGTGTAGTAATAGTCAATTGTTTTCCTGAAAGAAAAGTTTGTCAACTAAAGGAGCTAAGGAAGGAAAAGTATTAAATAGTAACAGGTAGAGCACAGCATGGCTACACTGGAAACACATTCTCCAGAGAGGCTCTTCAATGCTGCCGTCCTACGCTCCTCCTCATCTTACTGATTTTCTTAACAATCCATGAGGTAAAGAAGTTACATAGCTAAGTAACTGGTACTCCTCACCACCACCTGTGTGTGTGTGTGTGTGTGTGTGTGTGTGTGTGTGTGTGTGTGTGTGTCTGTCTGTCTGTCTGTCTGTCTGTCTATATTTCTGCCTCTCCCTCCCTCTCTCCTACAAGCAGAGAAGAAGCAAGCCAGTGATTTTAAGGAAAAAGGCCAAGGTTTAGAATACTCCAAGTTCAGTCAGATGAACCTGACTCCTGGTTTCTTAGTGGCTGGTGCAGCAGTAGATATGGAAGCAGACCAGGTGGTCTGGGTACAGTCTCTACTCTTCCTTCTGCCTCTTTTCAAATATACAGCACCCTCAACTTCCCATCTGCTTGTCCAAATTCTTGGAGCCAAACAAGCTTGCCTTCTGTTTCACAAAGAGACTTCTTTCCTCCCAACATAATTTCCTTGGGGTTCCAGGGCTACCCAAGTAATGAGCTGACTAATTTCATTTTCTATGGTTTCAAATCCTCCTAAGAAGTATTTGAATAGCCTAGCTCAAAGACCATGTAGGCGTAATTTTAAGCATGACATCATCTATTATGCTCTGTCTGACCTCACCCATCCTATACCTAACCTCTGAGTTGTAAACATAAAGATCCACACCAACAGCTTCATATTGTCCATCTTCTCCTCACCCGTCTTTCTAAGTTTCATGCTGATTTCAGACTCAGAAAAGCACAAAGCTGTTACTTCAAGAGAACTGAGAATCACAGAGAAAACTGCAAATACTAAGCCATAATTCACAAGTCAATAAATAGGAAAGGTTTCTCTAGGGGAAATGAGACATATTCAAAATTTCAAATATCAAGCAATAGAACTGGAAATCAAAATGTGAGCTATGCCTCCATGTGAGTATGCAGGCTTTGGTTAAGAGTCTATATGTCCATCTAAGCATTCCTTACACTATGATAGGAGGTTTAGGCAACCGGTCTCCATATATGTAAAAGCACTCCTCTGCAGATATTCTTTCTTAAATATTCACTCTGACTGATTTGTCAAAGGGAGAAAAAAAAACGTTAAAAATGAGTTTGTCCATTGGGGTTTAGAATATGGGAATTTGGGGGCTGGCAGTTCAAGAAATCCTACTACAATTGGCATTCAATCTTGACACAGGTTTATTATTAACTATTAATGCTCAGCCTTAGCTTAGGCTTGTTTCTTTTAACTTAAATTAACCCATTTTTGTTAATCTACATGCTGCCCCAAGGCTCATTTACCTCATCCACAAACTGTCCATCCTGCTTTCCTGCTTCCTCCGTGTCTGGCCCCTGACTGGCTGACTCCCTTCTCTCCCTGCCTGGAACACCAACTATGCCGCTTCTGTCTAGCTATTGGCTGTTCAGCTTTTTATTAGGCCAATTAGACCAATCAGGTGCCTCAGGCAGGCAAGGTGAAACAGTAACACATCTTTACATATTTAAACAAATGCAACATAAACAAAAGCAACACATCTTTACATAGTTAAACAAATAATCTATTCCACAACATTCGTCAGTTACTTAGAGAAGATTATTCTTAGCTACAAGACATAAGACACTAGGCCTTTAGAGTTCAACTTGCTGTTTGATAGCAAAACTTTTGAGATATCTCTTTATATAAAATTATTACCATGCAACAGATTTTTACAAATATTTCTAAGAGAGAAGAGTCTCACCTCACAGTATTCTGTGATAATGCAAAAATTGTTCTGCTCCACGAAGCTTGCATGGAACTTGACAATGGCTGGATGATTTAGCTTAGAAAGGAGCTGGGCTTCCACATTGGCCTGAAAAGTTTCATTCGGATTTAATTCTCCAACAGAGATTTCCTTGAGTGCCTTTCTGCAGCCAAAACAAGAAAAAAGAAAAGTGAAAACAAAAAGAAAGAAAGACATTAAGAGTTGAGAAATACGTTTAACACATATGAGCAAGTAGTATAGAGTCCCCTCACTATGTCCAGATGATCGGCTGCTCAAGGGTCTAGTTCGGCCTGCTACGGTACTGATGCCCTGGGCCTGCTTCCTATCCTGGTCAGTACCATGGTGTCCCACAGCCTCTGACCTCCACACCTATTCCCTCTACAGACGGAAGGACAGACATGGAATCTTGAGCACCACTGCTGGGATGCTCCTCCTCCATCTCATTAGACATTTGGTTTCTTTCATGGTGGTCTGTTTCCATCTCTGTGTGTTCCATTTTGTTTGTATCTGTTTATACTCATCACTACTTTTCTATTTCTGTCGATCTTATACATCTTCCTTCCCTCACTCCCTCTCTGTGTCTTACTCTGCTGTGTGTGTAATCTCACTCTTGCTCACACTCACTCTTGCTCTCCCTCTCACTGCTCTAAAACAGTCCCAAACCTATCAATTGAATGTCAGTCAGAATGCTTGCTATTTATTTATTCTATCCTACCTGTCCTTGAAATGCCATGCTTCATTGCTAGCAGGATTTAGGAAGACAAAGTTTTAACTGAAAACATTGATAGAGATAGTAAGAATTTCGATCCTGGATAAATAGAAGATCTCACTAAATCTCCAAATCATTAATTTAAAAATTGTGATAGCACCACAAAGAGCAGACCAAAACACTACCTCTCCCCATCTAAGGAAAAAAAAATAGTCTGATGAGCAAACCAATTATAGCACCACACTGTAAACTAGATTGCCTGGGGACAGCACTTTAGCACGCCAATTACACTGTGCAGACAGATGCTGCTGATTGCCAGGGAGCCTGGCTGCTCATTAAGGCAAGTTCTGTAGGACTCCAGCTAGAAAACACTTTGCAAAAACTGTTAAGAGTCACTACCTGAGCATATTAGAAGAAATGCTTAATTAAAGACTGTAACCGACTCATAAACTAGCCATCAGACCCCAGTCATGTCAAACAGGTGCTCATGTCCTTGCCATATGGAGTACCCAAAGCTGGTAGACTCTCTGGCATGCCCAGGAACTTCTGTCCTTCTGTTTCAAAGATGCTTACCCAAATCATTGGGTCTAATTCCAGGTCTGTTTCTGTCATTGTGCTCACTATTATGAATTTACTTATGATATAAACTGATGAAAGTTTAGCCTTGCTAGGAAAAAATAAAGCAAAGGCTTACCAAAAAAGTTTGACAATGACAAATGGCAAAAATCATACTTTCACACATGTCATTGGCGTGCTAGTTCTTATTGGGGTAAGCTTGTAAAACTGTAGTCTGAACCCGGGTTTCTAAGTTATCCGTCTACCCTGAAAAGGATAAACCTGGATAACTAGATGCGTGTGTGTGTGTGCCTTATGAAAAAGGAGGAAGGGGGAAATCTAACCAAAGGAGTTTAGATTTTGATAATACATAATAAAGTTGGAGATGTGAAATGTTTTAAATTTCTTTCAATGGATGTTGTTCTAATTCATGTTGTTTCTTCTACCCATCCAAGCACCAGCCCCAATTACACTAAGGAGGCTCCTACCACTGTTTAAGGAGTGCTATAAGCTGTTCATTCACTCGGACAAGTCTTTCCCTCCAGCTATATGACTGAGAAATAACAGCGATTGCCTCGGGCAATGCCAGACCTTGCTACTTCGGGCAGCTATGGGGCTCAGAAGCTTTGCAGTTGCAGTCAGTGTGCTATTGTGTACATCTGAGTGACAATCTGCCGTTTAAATGTTTTCAGTAGCATTATAAATGAAGGGGACAGGGAGATACTTCAGTATCAGTCACACAAGCACCAAGACCTGACTTTGGATCCCTAAATATCAGGTATAATCTGAGCGTGGAGGACAAAGGGATCCATGGGGCTCACTGGTCAGCCAGTCTAGCCAATCAGTGAATTCTAGGTTGAGTGAGAAACCCTATCTCAGAAAGGAAGGTAGAGAAGTGATTGAACAAGACATGTCCTTGCCAAACTCCAGTCTCCTTACACACCTGCGCGTGTGCGTGAGCACACACACACACACACACACACACACACACACACACACAACTCTGTCCTGCAAGTTGAAAGTGTAAATACAAAAAACTTGTAAAGTGCCCTCACCCTCTGGTGTTAGGGGATTAACATTTGAGTTTCCTGCTAGACCAATAAAAAAAGTCACATTGTTTTTCTCCAAAACCTCAGAAGGAAACCCTTAGACTCTGAGATGACCATCATTGAGAATACACTTTTCTTAAGTTGTAAGCATTTTAGCACATTCATCCTAAAGGTTCTTCATAGTCCATTCATTTTAAGCTTATCCCATCCCCAAGAAAACCAACAGGGAACTGTCAGTTCCCACAAAGAACACCTGGATGGCAGGTGTGGGCTCTCTTCAAGAGATATGCAGGCTTTGACTTCCTCTTCCCTTTCCCAGAAGTTTTTCAGCGTATTGTAATTTTAAAATTAATTTAAACATTTGGTTCTCTTCCCTAACAGGTGCACTCACATTGTTTTCATTAGATGCTAAAGAGTCTATCTTCCTTGATAATGAAGCAGATTCTACAGAAATGCATGGTAGGTAACTAACAGTGTATAAAAAAAAAAAACAAACCCTATTTTATTAAGACTTTTTCAGGGAGTGGGGATAGGCCTGTTTTTAGAAGTGGTGCCTCAGGCTGTTAATATGCCCCCAAAGAAACAAAAATGACATATGAAGACACATTTTCTTCTCTAGCTTCTGAAGGGTATACAGCAGCAGGCAGTTTAATGACATCTTCACAGTGCTTTCAGTAATTTACCCTGCCCCAGCTGGCACGCAGCTCTAAAAGTCACAGTGGTTAAGCATGATGATATAAAAGCCTTGCACAGACTTGCAGTGTTCTCTTGATGCAGAGGAACATGTGCTATGAAAAGCCTGAACATGCTTATTTTCCAGGCAAGCATTAGCTGCTACACAATAGAGCATGGGATTTTCCGTGGGATTTTACCCAGGCCCTGCCTGGCCACTCAACAACTCAGCAGAAGACTGTATTTGCCCATAGCTCAGCACAAGAAGCCAGGGCTGTTAGGACAGGCGGTATACACCATACCATCGCTAAGGCACACAGACACATTCTGCCTCCCTTGCCTAAAATTATGTCACTGGACCAACAGAGGAATCTCGTGGCGTATCAGTGTGAGAACCATGCCCACTGAGGAGAGCATGGAAGCTGGGCAAGTCAAGGGCGGTGTCTGGCTTGCTCGGTGGCTCTCAGCCTGTCATCCCTTCCTAAATAACACGACAGACACTTATTCTCTCAAAGCCTTGACTGTTTGGAGGAAACTGTATGAGAGCAGAAAGGGAAGCCATCCCTGAAGACCAGGCCTATTTTTTCAGACCCCCTCCTCTCTTGCCTGGGTGCCATGATGCTTTCTAGAGTCTGTAGTAAACTGACAAACTTTATAAAGAGATTTTTGAAATTTGGGGTAACTGTCACCAATTGGTTTCCCTTGAAATCAGTCCACTATTTCCATAAATGAGACAGATAGATGACATATGTGAGAGATTAACCTGCATTATTTCCTCCAAACGTCTGTGTGTTCTTTCACGACCTCCATGTTCAGCCAGAAACAGACAAAAATCACAGGAAATAGGTTCTAACCTTAACTAAACAAGAAGTTTGGAGGGCTTTTGTTTTGTTTTGTTTTGTTTTTAATTCAGGGTTTAGCAAAGAAGAGTTTTGAGATGGCACTTCCCCATCAATCTAACAAGGCACAGGTATTTTATATGCCCTTCTTTAATAGAAGGACCTCCTGTCGCAGTTTGCAACGAGACATCACCGTGGCACACACCTGTCATTTCAGCAGCCCTGCTTCTTCCGACACCTTTCTTATGTTGAGAAAGATCCCTGGGCTGTGAACCCAGCCTTCTCCAGACGACAAACACAGACAGGAATCCCCCGCCCCCGCCACACACACATTTCACAGCCTCTCCTAAGTTTGGCCACTGATGTTCTGTTAAATCGGTTGTGCCCACCTGAGATCTCAACGTGGGACTGAGCCCCATGAAGAACTAGTGGGGCGGGGCTTTCCTCTTGCTGAAGCAGGCCTTGGGCCACACCAATGCAGTGCTGTGACCTCTACCCTGGCCTCTGCCCTGCTCCCGATGCTTCAACAACTGCTGTGAGCTATCTATTGTCCTTCACATCTACACTAGGAAGCCCATCAGCTCTGACCTCCACCCAGGAGCCCTGACAGATGCAGCTAAGTACCACCGCAGACCTGGCAGGTGTGACCACAAGTTGCTGCTAGCCTGGGGTGGTGAGAATTGAACTGCCAGAGGCTAAACTCACTTGACTTAATTTCCTTTCTTCTTAAAACTTAGACTCTGTGCTTTTTCCAATCATGGTCTCAATATCTCTCACTCATACAATCCCTCCTCTCTCTCCTGGAGCTCCACCTGGGGCTCGGCCATGGATCTCTGCATCCGCTTCCAGCTGGGGAACCTATCCTTGGTGCATGGCTGGCTTTTTGGAGCCTGGGGTCTATGCTGGGACACTTTGCTCAGCCTTGGTATAGGGAGGAGTGGATTGGACCTGCCTCAGCTGAGTCTACCAGGCTGGACTGACTCCCCAAGGGAGACCTTGCCTTGGAGGAGGTGGGAATGGGGGGTGGATTGGGGGAGAGGGCTGGAGGGTGAGAGGAGGGAGGACGGTGGAATCTGTGGCTGATATGTGAAATTAAGTTAATTATAAAATAATGGCAGAGATGGATCACTTTTAGCTAGTACATTGATTTAAAAAAATTAGAAAAACCAAAATCTAAAGATACTTAAAGCTAGAGGGGAAATTCCAGAGTAGGGAGAATAGTATACAAAAAAATTCTGTTGCTGATGCTTTTCTTTAACAAGTCAAAAAAAAAAAAAAGTATCTTTAATGCCCATGGCTAGAAAAAAGACAAAATTAC